ATTAAGAGACTTGTCCAAGGTCATATAGGAAGCCTGTGATGGAGCAGGGAATTGAACCCTAAGTCTCCATACAGTGCTTTAACCAGAACCCAATTGCCCCTAGGAACAGACAATGTGCATTACATTTACCATTCTACAATATTACAACACAGCACAAGAGGAGAAATGGCTGAGGCTGGGATGAGGAAGCTCCTCTGTATTTAATTGCCTGGGGTTTTTTTGCCGGGAAAGTTAAAGATCAGAAAGAGATGAATACACCAGAACTAATAAAAGCTTGCATCCTGCAAGTCCCCAGCTCCAGCTGCCATCTGCTGGGTCTCATAGGGCTCCTCAGCTCTTGGAGAAATGCAAAGATTTGCTGTGCTACTCCTGCACTTGAGGGACTGCTTTTCCAGAAGAAAACTTGCTTTGTTGGACAGTTTCTGTTGCAAGTTGTGTTACCAGCCTCACAGTCATCCCTGCAAACCCTAAGCACTGTTCCACCTTGTCTCAGGGGTCTAGGGATGCCTGTCGGTTATTCCTCTTCATGGTGTATAATGAGGATTTGAGAGATACAGGTTTCTGGTAATGGGGATATATTGCAACCATGGTCTGACATACAGTCAGTTAGTGACAAATTATGTCAATGTAACAGCAAGTCCACCTCCCCCCTCCTCTTCCATGTCCTCCGACATGCATAAACACAATGCAATTGTACTTTTATCGTTTCCTTCAGGGACATTTTTATCCGTAGCCATCAGTGCTCCAGAAAACAATCTGTGCTGATCTAATGAGTAATTCCCATCAAACAGCAAAACTGAGGCATGGAATATTAAATTTCAGCAGCTACATGAAGGTAACATTCAGAGCCGTGTAACATTGTTTCTGATGCCAATTGAAGCTTGCTGACCTGAAATGCATCCAAATTATACACCGCAGTAGGAAGCTCGACCAGCATTGAAAAAGGGTCTGTGACTACGTACTCAAATGCTTATGCCGCACAGTTAAAAAGTAAGCTTCACCACCTCAGTGAATGCCATCTGATTCTCATGTGAGCATTGACTGGAGTACCTGGAGACTCTGTATGGATAGCAATGAACTTTCACAATTTCATGGCATTATCCATGTTCACAGTGCACATAAAAAGCCCTCTGCAAATCAACGTGGGGATGCCTGAAGAAGCCGATCGTTACAACTCAGTGGGTCAGCCACAATTCAGCCATTGTTTTGTATTTTAGCGATGGCTGAAAACACCAGCCACACACTGCAAGTAAAGGTAAAACTGTTGCCTTGAAAAGCTCTCACGTTGGTTGCTGAAATCTACAAGGGAAGGACAGACAGAATTCTACTGCTTTTCTTTGTGAATACGTGGTGTGCCATTATATATTCCTTCCCCTCTCCTTCCTTTCATCCCTAAACCAAACACATCGCAAAGCACCAGTATCAGCCATGCTGGGCCACATGCCAGGAGAATTAATGAAGTGGCGTAATAGCTCATATGGAGGCCCAATGGTTGCCGCCGTGCTTAAAATGCATCTGCAAGGCGGGGGATCACAGCATTGCGGTGTTCTGTTTATTACAGGCATGTCTCTTCCATTCCACTGATTTCTTTATTAGTGCGTTTTAGGGCAGCAACATGGGGGTTCACTCTGCTTGAGGCACTGAGGTTTGAATTCCAGCACTGCTGATGGAAGGGAGGTCTCCCTTCAAGGCGAGGATGCGCTGACAGTGCCATCCACTAACAATCACGGGATCCTTGCTGAGGGGTTCCCTAGGAATCTGAAAAATCCTGGAAGGCAGTGTAAGATTGTTTGGCTGGGGTGGGCGGGGTGGAGAAAGAGAGAGAGAGAAAGTAAGAGAGTTTTTTAGAAGTATATAGCAGTGTTGCAATAACTGAAGTGAGAATTTCATTTTTTGCCGGAGAAAGTAAGTTTAAGAACAGCAACTAGCAGTGAAATAGAGCCTCACAGTTAGACACAAGTGCACAAGTGTAAAGGAACAGGTGGATCTCAATCAACAGGTATTTGTCCACATCACAAACATCACCAATTATTCATTCATGCCTGGCATCCTTTACCCAGGAGAGGTTCAGGACTGTAGAAATCAGAGTGGAATGGGCCAGCATGGAAATGCAATGGCAGCCTTATGAAAAGACCCAAGACTAAAATGGCTGAATGTCCTGATGGAGACGCACAGACATAGTTGCGAGGGAACTGAAAATGGGAATAGCTGTGGCTACTGCATATCCAGACTAGCATAGTTGTGAGGGGAGGTTTGACTGGAAGAACGGGGACTATTGCAGGTCCGGACTGGTGTTACGCCGTGCGGGACCCTCGGTACTGCATCTGCAGACGTGCTGAAGGCAAGGAGTGAACTGAGCTGCATGGGAAGAAGCGTAGGAACCAGCCTGCACTGTGCATTGCTCGAAACACTGAGCTCATTGTGGTAAGAACCAAATTCATACCAGAATAGGGAATGAGTGTCGAGTGAAAACGCCCTATCTGGGCAATGCAGCTGTTTTTCAATCTGCCGCTTGTTTGATGAAACGCTCCAATTTAAAGTGGAAGCTCTTAGTGACCTTTCATTGGACAGCAACCGTGGTCAGGAAATCAATTCCATACGATGACCAGTAGGTGGTATCAGTGTACAGCAGGTTCCACAAGTGGTGAGTTTAAGTCAGTTGGGTTAATCTACAGCTGAGTCGCTGCCAGCACTGCCAGGGCCCTGAATAATGGGGGATCTCATTCTTACGTCTTTTAGTGATTTTTGAAGAACATTTAGGGATCCCAGTATCCAGTTTTTATTTAAAATATTTTTTAGTGTTTATTTTTGGCTGCTTTATTGTCATGGAATTTCCCAGAAAGACTGTGATTTCTAATGGGTTTAAATATGGATGGTAATGGTATAAACATGATCAGAAATCAGCTCCTCCACTGACAAATCAATGCAAGAGATTTTTTAAAATCTTCCATCTCATCTTATTGTTTGTATCCTACCTCCCCACCTTGTGTGTAACCACAGGCCCATACTCAGGAATTTCTGTGTGTGTGTATGGGGTGTGTGTGCTATTTTTGTAAATGTGCACCTCAATTTTTTTAAATATAAGAGTTCAAAATAGTCATGCAACAAGTGTGCATAAGAGAGGCTAATGAAAAATGTGAGTGGAAACAGTGATTGGTAAAATAATTTGGTTGTAACATACTAAAAATGTATTCAGTAATAAAGGTTTTATAGAAATTACCTTCTGGGATCTTGCTGTAATATTGTAAGTGAAAAAACAATATTCCAAAATACTGCAGTCTTTGTTGCAGTGAAATTATGACTTGTCACGATTATATGCATGGTTAACTATTTTGTCTTGGTGACATTAGTTGCCAATTTAGGATAATGTGGCTTGTGTCTCCATGATAGTGTTTAGAGCTGGTTGGAACTCTGGGATGAGATAATCAGCGTGGAAGTTCTGTAAGCTCCTTGCTAGTCATTTCTTTTGTTTGCCAACAGCCAGCGGGAAACGACTAACCCACTTCATCTGTTTCCTCCAAACTGGGACCCATCGGCACTGCCTGATATAGGGTACAAGGCAGGGATGTTAAATTTAGATTAACTGGCTAATAGAAGAGTCAATGCAATTTGCATCGACTATTCAATTAGTCGATAAGGGCATCTCTGCCCCAGGGCTGTTGCTACACTTCAAAGGAAAAAGTGTGGCAGGGAGCATGGGGCCAGTGGGAGACTCAAGCAGTCCCCCGCTGGCCCCATGCTCCCCACAGTGTTTCAAAGCAGCAGCGCCGCATGGAGCCCAGGGTCAGTGGAGGAATCCCCATGTGACCCCGGGCTCCATGCGGCACTGCTGCTTTGAAATGCTGTGTGCAGCCCAGGGCCAGCTGCATGCCCAGGGTGAAACATACCCAAAATGACTAAAAGAAAATGAAAAACTTAAAGAAAATTCATTTTGGTTTTGTCAAACATTTTGATTCAAATTTTGAAAAAAAAAATCTCATAAGTGTCTTAGGTTCACATCAATCTCCTCTCCCCCTTCAGGTGTGGGGGCCAAACAGGTTTGGGCTACAAGGGGGAGCCAGGAGCTAACAGGCAGGCAGCTCATCTGGGTTGGTGAGGGGGCAGAGAGCTGGTGCACAGCTCAGCTGAGCTGCGCGGGGAGGGGCAGGAAGACAGCACAAGGCTCAGCTGAGCTGCGGGGGAAAGAGGAACGGGAGCTGGCACACATCTGGGCTCAGGGGGGGGAGGCAGGGAGCTGGTGCATGGCTCAGCTGGGTTGGGGAGGGTCTGGGAACTGGCACTTGGTTCATTTGGGCCAACTTCGGGAACTGCGAGGGGGGGGGGTTCATTTGCACCCTTTGCAGCCCCCCTGAGTACAGGCCTGAATCATGCAAAACCCAACTTCCTTCCATTCTGGTGCTTTTTGCTCCTGAGCAGTGAAACTGTGGGAAGAATGAGCATAAAGTGAGACCAGAGATGTGCAGCTGAGAGTCTGAGTAGCACAAAATTCCCTTACAAATCACTTACATTTTTTTCTCCCCGTGTATTTTTTTAAATCTACGTTTGAAAAATGATCACGACTGTGTATCCATTTTCAGTTCCCCAAGAATATTATATGGACAACGAGAGACATGCCAACATTTTCAGTAGTGGATTTTGGGTGTCTCAGTTTTCATGTCTACCTCACATAGCTTAACAGGGCCTGGCATTCACAAAACACTGAGCACTCACCTGCTTAAAAACCAGGCCTCTTTAATCTCTCTTATGGATTTACTGTTGTACAGAGGAAAGCCAAGCTTGAGGTAAGTGACCACAACTGAAATCACTGGACCATCTGACATATACATTGGTAATCTCGCCCCTACACACACACATGCATGTGCGTTCACCCTTTATCCCACAAAGAAAGTGTTAGCCCAAAGCTGGATGTGTCCAAATGCATCTCTACTTGGAGAGGGAGAAGCTGTTCCAAGACGTCTCTTCCAATCTCTGATCTCTGTTACACAGTCTGAGCCACTCACCCACAGCTGGTTTCTAACAAGCTGTCCCCGACCTGCAGTGACGCCATTCCAAAGTCTGCTATCCGGATGTTGTTCTTTTCATCTAGCAGCAGGTTTTCTGGTTTTAAATCCCTGTGGCTGTGGAGAAAGGATTGAAACATGGGTTAGAAGAATTCAGGGCAGCTCTCCTTCCCCAGCATCTGTTTATTTTATTTCAGACAAGTTCAGTTTTCTCCTCCTGGGGCAGAGGAACACACAGTCTTTGGAATGCTGCAACCAGCAGCTAACCATTACTGACCCTCTGAGGGCCTGAACCTGCCAGGCCCTAAGATGTGCTGAACATCCTCAGCTCCCTTTGAAAATGAAAGACGTGCATGGAACTCAGTTAGGAGTGGGATCTCAGAAGGCAGTCAGGGCTGGGATATCATAAACCAGCCCATGAAAGCAGGAAACAACAGTATCAACATGGTCTGTGGATGGAAGAAACGTCAGTGACTGATTTTCAGGTAAAGAAAGTCTGTCATATGCCTTGCTCCTCTCCCTGCCCAATAGAGCCTCTTTTTAGGAGTTGCTTGCCTAGGCATGGGGCCATAGGTAATTAGTTGGCATGAGACATTCCCAACAGGGGATGGGCAAGGTGGTGCTGACCTTTGGATACTGGGTCATGATCCCCAGGTGGGGAACTCCCACTATGGATAAAAGGTATAGATACCTGTCCCCGATCGTGGCGGGGAAAAACTCTCCCAAAAAACTGGGGACCAAACTTGTTGAGTCACTGCGACTTTAAATCCCATGCTCCCCTTTACACCCCACCCCCACCAAACATGGCAGGGGAAGAATGTCCCCACCGGCCTTCCATCTGAGAAAAACAGAAAATACCGGACATCATATATGTCTGGTATTTTCTGGGTTTTTTTTTTTACCGGACAGGGGCAACAAATACTGGACTGTCTGGGAGAAAACCAGGCACTTGGCAACCCTCCTTGTCCCCACTCATCATCTCCTCTCTTACCCATGTCTGGGGCAGTTATGGAGCCACCATCTCATTTCCATGTTAGTTCTCATAAGTGTTTGTAACTAGCTCTTATCTAGCCTAGTAGTTAATTTTTAAAAATTTGGACAACAATTTGGTCAAAATTTGTGAGGTTTTTGTCAATTTTTTAAAATTGTGTTTGAGTCACCAAGATGACAAGTGCATCTTAACAACAAGGACGGGTTTTATGAGGGAATTCCTGTTGCCCATCCATGGTCTCTGCTTCGGTTAGGCTGAACATGTGCCTTTTGGGCCTGGGTGAGAAAAGGGCCAACTCTGAGACTAACTCTTTCTGCAGATAAGAGGGGCTCTTTCAATAACCAATCAGAAAATAAACCTACTGGAATCTGGGTCTGTAATATAAATTGCCTGGCAGCAAAGGTGAGTTTTTATGACAAGAACTACAACCAGAAACCAAACGATAAATACCTCAGCTTGAAGGTCAAACCAGTCCAGTGACACTTAGGTCAGGTCTATCCTACAGGAAAAAGTCGACCTAAGATATGCAACCCTAGCTACGAAAATAGCATAGCTGTAGTCAACGTACTTTATGTCGAATTTCTGCAGCATCCTCACTGTGGGAGGTCAATAGGAGAAACTCTCCCGTCGACTTCCCTTAACACCTCACAAGCTGGTGGAGTGCCGCAGTTGAAGGGGGCACCATCAGTGGTTGATTTAGCATACCTTTACTAGACCCGTTAAATCGAATCCCATGAGATTGATCTCTGGAGCGTCAATCTCAGGGTAAGTGAAGACAAACCCTTAGTGCTGACTTCAGCCTTCTCAAAGGCATTATCTCCCCTTTCCTCCCTTTATCCAATACTCATATAGTCCTGCTGATGAGAACAAGCACACGGGGAGAGAAGTTCAGCATTTCCCCTAGACCTTGTTGCAGAAACATAAAGGCTACGTCTAGACTGGCCACAAATTCCGGAAAAGGGATGCAAATCAGATAAGTCAGCATAGGGAAATCCGCGGGGGATTTAAATATCCCCCGCGGATTTAAATAAACATGTCCGCCGCTTTTTTTCCGGCTTGGGGAAAAGCCGGAAAAAAAGCGTCTAGACTGGCGCGATCCTCCGGAATAAAGCCCTTTTCCAGAGGATCTCTTATTCCTACTTTAAAGTATTGCTCTGCAAGTATTGTATAGAAGTAGGAATAAGAGATCCTCCGGAAAAGGGCTTTATTCCGGAGGATCGCGCCAGTCTAGACGCTTTTTTTCCGGCTTTTCCCCAAGCCGGAAAAAAAGCGGCGGACATGTTTATTTAAATCCGCGGGGGATATTTAAATCCCCCGCGGATTTCCCTATGCTGACTTACCTGATTTGCATCCCTTTTCCGGAATTTGTGGCCAGTCTAGACATAGCCAAAGTATATTATAATATTTTGGAAATTACCCTCTTTGCGTTCCAGGTCAGGCATCTAGAAACACCAATTAGAAAGGCAGCCCCCAAACAATTCAGTTCAGGTTTCATGTAAAACGCAGTGTGTGCTGCAGTAGGTCACATTGGGAGCACTAGGAAGCTCTACTCAGACCTCCAGCAAAGTGGGAAACATTCAATAAAACTGCTAGTTCTTTACCTTAAAAACCAAGACTTAACCCCTAATGTTTAAAAAGTGTTTGTACGTGTAATTACTATGCTGCCATTCTCATGCCTTATTGATGGGGGCAATGAGGTAACAAGATGACTGAGTGGTAGCATTTGTATCTGTAAATAATGGCAAACTGGAGGGCACTTTGTAAATCAAGCCCTTTGTGTATTACAGTCTCCTGGTAACCTGGGACACCACAAGAATCAGACATGAAATGAATACCAGGATGCACTTAACCTTTGGTCGGATACCTTCAGCACATTCTAAAGCTTGTGAATGTGCAGTGACAGCCCAGGAAAGACCTACGGGCATGTCTACACTAGGAAATTATTTCAAAAAAACTTATTTTGAAATAATAACTACTGAATAATGATTTTGAAATAGCATGTCCACACTACAGGGAAGCCTCAATATTAATCCGAGGCAGGCTCCTATAGTGTATGTCTACAGTATGGAACAAAGTCGAATTATGATACTCAACTTCAGATACGTTAATTGCATAGCTGGATCGAAGTAGCTTATCTCAGCTTTTGGCGCTGTCTACACTGCAGGAAATCAAAGGAAGAACACTCTTCCTTTGTCTTCCCTTACTCCTTATGAAAGCAGGGTTATCAGCATCGACCAAAATAATCAGCCCCTTATTGCCAAATAATGGGCTTGGTAGTGTGGACACTCCTCTTGTTATTTCGAAATAAGGGGAGTTACTTCAAAATAACTCCTTAGTGTAGACCAGGGCTATTAATGCTGCCATCCAGGACAATGGTCTCTGATAGGTACAAGTTGCTTACACATGGGTCAGATCTGTTGCTTACACATGGGTCAGATCATAATGAAGGACACAGAGGAGAAGCAGCCAGGGTCCTGAAGTGGGCTATGGCAGTTGGATAATAATGAGATGACAATGCATTATTTAATTCCTGTTCTCTAACTGGAATCCAGGATCGAGCTCATCTTGCAACTGAGTGCTGGGAAGGTTTCATCTAATGGAGAGCTGGATTAAAGGTTTCCTGTCTCAGCATTAGGCTATGGTGATGAATGACAACAGTGCTTGCAAAGTAAGTGTTGTTGATATAATGAAAGGTAACTGGAAACCTCTCAAAACCCCAGGCAGACTGTGTGTCCTTCTGTCTTTTGCAGTGGTTGTCCTTGTACCAGTCTCAGAGGCTTTTATTCAGGGCTAGTGTAGGCTTGGCAGAACTCTGGTGGGTTGTTTTTTGTATACTTATGACAGATAATATCTATGTTTATTTCAGAGGGGTTTTTAGATTTGTATTTAAATTTACACAATTGTGGGAAATTATGAGAAGATCAGTCAGGTATGTAATGGCAATAGATGTTGAGATTCAAAAAGTAAAAATGTTGTGAACCACTACAACACAAATTGTCAATATAACACCAAAGTATTGAAAGTACGCATCCTTAAATCAACAAAAAACCCTCTTTCACTATTCATTCCTTAGTACAGGAGTTCTGAACCTTTCTAAACTACTATACTCCTTTGAGAAGTCTGATTCATTCTGTGTACCCCAAATTACACCCAGAGCCGGCCCAAGCCATTTTTGTGCCCCGGGCGTGCGGTGTCACCCGCAGGTGTGTGGCGCATGCGTGGCCCTGCCCCCATCCGGCCCGGCAGCACCGTGCGATGCCCCTTACAATCGGGCATCCTGGGCTATCGCCTGGTCAGCCTGTAGCTTGGGCCGGCTCTGATTACACCTCACTTAAAAGATACTTGCTTACAAAATCAGAGGTAAAAATAAAAAGTGTCACACCACAAAATTGCTGACTTTCTCAATTTTCCATATATTTATAAAATAAATCAATTGGAATATAAATATTGTACTTACAGTTCAGTGTATAGTATATAGAACAATATCAACCAGTCATTGTCTGCATGAAATTTTAGTTTGTTCTGACTTTGCTAGTGCCTTTTTTGTTGTTCTAAAATGAGTCAAATATCTAGATGAGTTGATGGACTCCCTGGAAGACCTCTGCCCATTCACAGAGGTATAGGTACCTCTGGCTGAGAACTACTGCCCCGACTCCCTTTGTGACAAGCCTAATTCAAAAGTCTGCATTGTTGTATTTTCACTCTAATAGGTTTTCAAGCAGCATTTTCTCACTTTGCCTATCCGCAAATTTCTGTTAACATTGATGGAATTTTTTTGGTTGATTTGTGGAAGGTGAAATCGATGTTTACTGACATTTGCTGATAAAAATCGAATCCGTCCAAGCCTATTTATATGCCACAGAGGTTGGGGATGCCGCTTTTTGTTAAATTCGGTCTATTAGATGACTCATAAAGATGAAAGGCTAATAGCACTGGTAAGAACTGTGCCCTCTGTTCCCAAACTCTTATAATATAATATATGGAGACATACCATAGAACTGGAAGAAACTTTGAGAAGTCATTGAGTCCAGTCCCCTGCCCTCATAGCAAGACCAACTACCATCCCTGACAGATTTGCCCCAAATGGGCACCTCAAGGACGAAACTCACAACCCTGGGTTTAGCAGGTTAATGCTCAAATCACTGAGCT